TCTCTCTCTCTCTCTCTCTCTCTCAAAGTAGGTAAATCAATAAGAATGGATGCACTGGATTCAGTTTTCGATCCATTGAGAGAATTCTCAAAGGACAGCATTCGTCTCGTCAAGAGATGCCACAAGCCGGATCGCAAAGGTATATTTCAGAAAATCTAGGGTTTCGAATTTGAGTTCTGTTCTTAAATCAAAGACATAAGTTTATTTAGATTACTGATTTATGATCCGATTTGATAATTTATTTGAGGATTTATTTATTTATAATTTGGTGTGGGCAGAATTCACCAAGGTGGCGACCCGTACAGCTATAGGTTTCGTGGTGATGGGATTCGTTGGATTCTTCGTCAAACTTATATTCATCCCTATTAACAACATCATCGTCGGATCTGGTTAAAGTACTAGAGGTCGTTTGATACCAAAGAAAAATGTAAATCTACTGTGTGCTTATTTTATAATTAATTTATCCGGCTTATATTGAGTGCTATGTGAATTTTCGGATTTAATATATTAACTTCATTCGTTCCGGTATATATGTATGATAAAGTTTTTGAATTTTGTAGATTTCATGTGTCCTTGTTGCTAACTTATCTTCGCGTCATATCTGCTGTCTTGTTTATCATAGTTGAATCATGATATATAGGGAAAATGAGTCCTAGTTATACCGAGGTGTTGGATTTTACTTCATCTAACTGTGGAATTGTTAGAAATTCAATGGGTGAATTTGATATTTACATAATTTATGCAGTCATGAATGTGTTTATGGTTATAGTTTTCTCAATGACCAAATGCTTCCAAAACTCAGATTCATGAAGTTATCTTAACCAACATTTACCCTCTGCAAAACCCCCTAAACTTGAACTATTCATTTAATGTTTTTGTGATTATCTTGTTTAATCTATAAGCTGAATTCCTTTTTTTCCTGAAAACTCTCTGCCTCATTATTAACTCTGTTCATGTCTTATTGTGGGGGAGGGGGAGGACGGTTTTGGTTGCAAATGAGTTTCGATAACTACCTAAACTTATCTGACACATCATTAACTCTGTTCATGTCTTATTGTGGGGGAGGGGGACGACGGTTTTGGTTGCAAATGAGTTTCGATAACTACCTAAACTTATCTGACCTATTATTAACTCTGTTCATGTCTTACAAGGAAGCTTTTGTTTGGTTTGTGTAGGGGGCGGTTTTGGTTACTAATTGGAAGCGAACATTTCAATTTATTTCTGTGTTTCTTGTCTTCTGTAGATTAATAGTTGACACATCTTTCTCCTTCACTATGCGATATTGGGTTGAACTTTATTTGTAAGCTAAACTGAGTATATGATTTTTCACCATTTTCTGCATATCTTAAAATGATCATTCCATTTAAATTGCAGGTTCAGAAGCAACTAATTACCGTGGAATGGAAGCACTGGAAAAATATGGTAGAAAAACTTGCTATAGCAACCCCTATCCCTTTTTTATTCCAATATTGAAAACACAGAGATTCCTTTTGGTTTGATTATATTGAACATGAATTTTCAGATTGTTCTGCATCAGTTGATTTTTTACCGTTTTCAATTGGTGAGACTAAT